AGAATTCATGTCAAAAGTTCAAAGATGAGAGACATACAAAGGATGATCAAAATACACAGTAAATATTTAAATTTAAAAAATGTATTACAGTTAAAATTCCCTTTTGTACACTCCCCTTTGCTTTGAACACACTGGTCCCATCATTTTGTCATGTTCTGTAGCAGCTCTGGAAGTCCCCTTTCATGAGTGTCTTTATAAGGTATGATTAAAAATATAGTCACTGCTGCTGCCAAGTACTGTCCAACAGAAACCAGGCCCATAAAATTTTTTTTTAAATTAATTTTATTGAGAAACAAATAGCAATGAGACAGTTTCAAAACAGGTCAGTAGGACAGTTACAATAATTAATACATTGTATATTGTTGTTTTTATAGTAGTTATTCAATAATAAGATGATGCAGACCTGATATCCTGTCCAAACACTATTAGTACAAATCTTTCTTCTCATTGAATTAAGAGAAAGTAACTGTATATCTATCCTATTTTGTATATACAGATACAAAATGGTCCTTCATTTATATTCCTTTTTCGTTTAGTTTTGTCAGAGATGGGTATTCCATTACCATTTAAATATTGTAGGTGCATGAATTCAGCAAAATAATCCAATATAGTCCAGTAGTCCATAATAGTAGTGGGCTATCCATAGGACTGTCAGTGTCAGAAGTTGTTGACTTGAGCCTTTCATAGCTCAGCATATTAATATGGCTTTACTGTGAATCTGTGTAACTTCTGGTTCTTCCTGAAGTCAAAATGACCACAAGAGTTTTGTAAAGACTGTGAACCCATCCAGGACCCTGAGGCAGCCACAACAGTGCAACTAAATATACTCATGAAAGAAGACTCCTAGAACTGGCTCGGAAAGTATTAGGAATGATGGGATAAGTGTGTTCAAAGTGAAGCATACATTAAAAAGCCTTTAGATCTAATAAACAAGTTCAGCAGTGTAGGGGATACAAAGTCAACACTCAAAAATCCATAGCCTTTTTGTAAGCCAATAGCAAACTCAATGGACAAGAAATTAGGGAAACAATACCTTTCACAATAACATCCAAAAAGAAGGAAAGGAAAAAAGAAAGACAGAAAGACAGACAGACAGACAGACAGACAGACTGACCGGCCGGCCAGCCGGCCGACTGACCGACCAACTGACTGACTGACCGACCTAGGAATCAATCTAATGACGAATGTAAAACACCTCTATGCTGAAAACTATAGTATTCTGAAGAAGGAAATTAAAGCAGATATCAGAAAATGGGAAGATATCCCTTGCTCTTGGGTAGAAGAATTAAAATAGTGAAAATGGCCATACTTTTAAAACTGTTAATGTAGATTTAATGTAATTCCTATCAAAGTTCCAATAGACTATCACATAGAATTAAAGGAAACAATTCTAAAATTCATTTGGAGCCAGAAGAGACCTAGAATAATATAGAAATTTGAGCAACAAAGGCGAAGCAGGGGGCATCACAATCCCTGACCTGAAATTATACTATAAAACTACTGTGATAAAAACATCATGGTCCTGGCAAGAGAACAGACCCAAGATCAGTGGAACAGATTAGAAGATGCAGAAACAAATCCAGGCATACTCAGCTTGTTTGTCTTTGACAAAGGTGCCAAACACATTCACTGGAAGAAAGATGGCCTCTTTAATAAATGGTGCTGGAAAAATTGGCTGTATACAAAGCAAAGATTAAAATTGGATCTGTATCTTTCACCATGCACTAAATTAAATTTGAAATGGATCAAAGCTCAATATTAACACAGAAACATTTAATCTGTTGGAAGATAGAATAGGCAACACTCTTGAAGACACTGGTGTAGGCAAAGACTTTATGAACAAAACTCCAATCACACAGGAAGTATCATAAAACAGGAGGATCACTACGAGTGTGAGCTGCACAGTGAGACCCTGTACCAAATACATAAAAAATTAGGATCAACTTTATATGTATATAAAATTAAGATCATTGTACTACTGATTTTTCTTGGTTACTTAAAAAGAGAGGTTTGTGCTCATATTGTTTTGACAATTAGCTGCTGAAATCTTATACTCCAAGTAACTAATTTAAAGATAATATGCAATGTATTAACCACTGTTACTCTCCTACTATCTTGTTTTGATTTTTTTTTCTCTTTAAAAAAGTGAATGGTAACATTAGTGACAATGTGCTTCTTACTGTAATACATTTTCAGTTTCAAAGTCATCTCATTTTTTGATCACATCTCCTAGTTCAGAGTAAGTATGTTTGGGAAGAGATCATAAGAAACCACTACAGTGAAGTCTGTCCACATCTCCTGCCTCTTCCTAACTGCCCGGTCATGGATGATACCATTGGTGAGCCAGGACTAGAAGGAGAAATTACGATGGTCAAATCCTCCACAGCCCCCTTAAAGGTTATCTTCACTTGTAACAGTGAGCCCAGCCACCTGGTGGCCAGGAAGAAAGGGCAGGATATTGTAGTGGGCACTGCCTATAGAAAGCAGCTTAGCTCCAAGGGCAGGAGGTGCCACACTCCATCCCTGAACTCCCTCTGAAGTTAGAGCATGTTCTAGGCCCTGCACCCCTCCATGATGATTGTGGGGGTCTCCAAGCTTGAGATCTACCTATGATCATCCTTCGGGAGCTACAGGATTATTGTGGCGTGTACTGAAAACTTTTCTTAAGGAAAGCACTTAGTCCTCTCATACACAGGGCAGCTGTTCCAGCAAACTGCTTCTTATATGTTATAGATGGTGTTTTTATACACTGGGTTG